AAATCTAAGTCGACGTAAAAAAATTGTGATTTTAGTTTGTGTAGTATCTCTTTGCTCTGCCTTAAAAGCTCGTTTTTTCATTTCTGTTAAGGTTAAAATGTGGTGTTCCGATTCAGAATTTTCCAAAGTCCATTTTCATCTGTATTTGGTAAGTCATCGGTAACTTTTCATTGCCGAACGAAGAAGGCTTACCGGATCTTCGTAACACTAACAATTTCATTTTATGAGTCCCAGAGGCGTTTGAACAAGAAGTAAATGTGATCGTCTCCTTGCTCATTTTTCTACTTGGGTCTGAGGCCTCAGATTGATCAGCAAGTGTCTTTGGAGGGCGTATTTTCCAAAAAGCCCACTTTGGTATGCGTTATAGATTCGGTGCAACAACTGCATTTCCCTGACTTTATTTCGAAGCAGTTCTCCAGGGCTCTATGGGTCCCTCGTCACTGATGTTGTCGAATTCCATATCGGTGTTTAACTTTATTGAGCTATTCAGCACTCGCTTTAAAATTTGTTATCGCAAGTTTGATTATTTAAAAAATAGGCTTTAATTTTTTTTTTCTGGCGATGTATTGGATTTTCTCATTTTTCAACTGAGTATCAGAGTAACGAGTTAAAAAAAACAAACACACTTTTTACTATCATGTCCCGAATGCAATTATGAAAATCAGAAAAAAACATCAAAGGATTCAAATTCACTTGATAACCATCAACCGAAACTGTGATTCAAATATCTTGGTAAGACAATGAAAGTACGAAAAAACCATGGAACCTTAGCCATTGTCTACCACTTTTCAACAAACTTTTTTTTTGTTGTTAAAGTGATCCAAGCCCTGGTGGCTTTAGTAAATGATCCAGAGCCTGAACATCCATTAAGGGCAGACCTAGCTGAAGAATATCTGAAGGATAAGAAGAAGTTTACAAAAAATGCGGAGGAATACACAAAAAAGCATAGCGAAAAAAGACCTGCCGATTAAATTAATTTGAAAGTAACTGTATTCGTCTCGATATAAAAAAAACTATGAACTCGCCTTATTACTTTACTAAATGAACAGTTGTGGACTCACAAGTAGAAAATTTTATAACAGTTGTGAACAAGTTTGCCGAAATATTTTCTTGATTCGATAATGTGATAATTTCAGTTAGGTGTAGATTAGACTTTTTATTAATAAAGTTTTCTGTGCGAAGGGTGTGAATTCCATTTGAAATATTATGGCCTCTGTAATTTTGTTTTGTTAAGTATCTACTGCATTTATTATCTGCTCTCTTACGGCATTAGTTAACTATCGGTATGCATGCCTTTTTAGAACTCCCAGTTCATGTAATATCCCGAAAAAATCGCAGTGAATTTTTCTGAACTCTTTACGGTTAACCACACATTGAATACAATTGCTTATTTTTATATGCCTTCAGCCTTTCGGTGACGGCATTTCCATTCAGAATGCTGTCGCTAAGTCTCTGTCAGTTTTCAATAAGATTTTCTGGTTATTTGTCCACCGGTTTTATGTTTTGTCCACTATTAAGTTCGAAGAGACGCATTTTTTGATATGTTCTTTCTGTTTTGTTCTAAATACTTTTGAATTTTTCGATGTTATTTAAGAGCTAGTTTGTAATCAGTGTCAACCGGAAGGTACTTTTTTGCAGGTTTTTGATATCAGTCAAGGTATTGTACATTGTATTGTTTAATAAAATCGCAATCTAAACCAATAGTTTTTTTGTTTTTCCATATGGGATAAATTGCCATTTTTTAACGTTACCAGCACCCTTTTTGGATATACTGAGTATATGGAGCAAATTGGCAAAATTGAATTGTGTATATAAAAATATGTGTAATCTTGTATTAGATTTTTGAAACTTAAGCTCCTAATTCCTTAATAATGTTGGCTGCAATAACCAGTCTTTGAATCTCGGAAGTTCCCTCATAAATCTCCGTTATCCGGGCGTCTCTATAATGCCGTTCCGCCGGCATATCTGATACATAACTGCAACTCAAGAATTAGTACGGTGAAAAATAAATTTCCCTTAAACACTTGCCCCATTCCGCCTAAAATCTGAATACACTGGTGACTCAAAAATGTGGCCGCTTCACTAGCGGCTAGTTTCGCCATTGCGGCCTCTTTCGTGTAAGGCTTGTGGTTGTCTTTCAACCACGCCGCCCTCCAGGTTAACAATCGTGCTGATTCAAGCCTTAAGGCCATTTCAGCTAGTTTGTTCTGGATGGTTTGATGCTAAAATGTATCGCTGGTTGAAAACTAGCCCGGTATTAAACTGCGTAGCATTTACCTTTAAAAGCGGCTTTCCAAAGCTCAATCTTTTCGCGGCATAATCAGCCGCTATTTCTAAAGATGCCTGAGCAATGCCCAACGCCTGTGAAGCGATGCCTATTCGACCGGCGTCTAGGCAAATCATTGCTATCTAATTTAAAAACCAAAGTTACTTTTGCGGTTTAAATGTGGAAGAAATGTTCCTACTTTGAAGCCAAAGCCGAGCTCCCCTAAGAGGTTCTCTTTGGGTATTTTGCAATTGTCAAACATAAGCGCGCAAGTCGAAGAGCCCCTTATTCCCAACTTGTCCTCCTTTTTGCCCAGTTCCAACCCCTCTACTGGTTTGGGTATGATGATCGCCGAAATTCCTTTGTGCTTCAGACTTTTGTCGGTTGTTGCAAACACCACACCTGCTTCACTTTCAAATGCGTTTGTAATCCACGACTTTGTGCCGTTCAGGAGAAAACTGTCTCCTTCTGATTTAGCGGTAGTTGAGGCTGCACCCGCATCAGATCCATTGCCAGGCTCTGAAAGTGCGAAACAACCTACCTAAAAAAATGGATCGGTTATTGATAGGCTGGTTTTGCTGTTATTTGGTATTAAGTTACTTTTTCGCCAGTTGTGAATGGTTGGATCCATTTTTCCTTTTGCTCTTTGGTACCCCATTGGAGAATTGGTCCTAAATAGAGCGAGTTATTTACGGACATTATAACTCCAGCACTCGCACAGCTGAAAATATTTTTTTCTATTCAAAATGTTAATTAACTTAAAAAAAACTGAACGTTTTTATGAAACAAGATGAGGAAATCAGCATTATTTCTGCTGATAAACCAGAGCTTCTGTTCGTATTAATGACCGATGTTATTCAAAACTAAATGATAAATTGTTAATGAGACTGATTGCGGGATAATATTGTTTCATTTGCGCGTGGCAACATTGGTGAACCACAAAAAATTGAAAATTATATTTGTGCATCAACGACAAAAAATAGTGATTTACTGTTTACTGTTAAGAGATGAAAAAAAGCAACATATATACATTAAAAAATAAAACATTACACGAGCAGTTTTTTGGGTGCTTTGCAAGAATTTATTAAATTCGGTTATGACCTATCAGCATTAGGGAAAAATGTCACTCAACGCTTATAAAAAAGCAAAAGTATTGATAAATTTTGTACAAAAGTTCAGTGGAGAACTAAAAAAACTAGCATGAATCTCAGCTTATCTCCTTTGCGTTTTCCCAACTTAATTAGAAATTAAACTTAACCCACTGTTCTTTTGTCGGTTTATTCATGATTTGATCGGTTGACAAAACACAAAACCATAAAATATTCACAAGTCAGAAAGGTGAATAAAATTCCGTATGCTTACACCCAAATGATTGGACTTTTTAGCGAAATAATCGATGTGAGAAGAATCCTTACCCTCGAGATACTTCTTCTAAAGCAATAGCGTATGCCAGATAATCCAGCCCAGTGCCTCCAAATTCCTCTGGTACTGCAATGGCCATCAGCCCCAATTCCCCCATTTTTTTGATCTGTTCTTTCGGGTACAGATGCTCCCGGTCCACTTTGGCAGCGATTGGTTTAAGTTCGCCATCAACAAAGTCTCTGCAGCTCTTTTGCAGCATTTGATGAGTCTCAGATAGGGCTGCTAAAGAGGCGATGCCCCTTTGCTTGAACATGCACACTGAAGCAAGGGGGCTAATCTTTAGTGGCTCGTTAATCAGCGAGTAGAGTATTTTACAAGTTTCCTATAGCTAGGCATATATATTGTGTCGACACTGTTCGAAATTAATTTTTACTGAAGGATGACAAACTGAATTGAAAAATTGAATAGTAATTAGGGCAATGGTCCCTAATTTTAACAATAAATTTGGACTTTCATTCAATTGTGGTATTGCAAATGTGATTGGATCCATGGTTTTGTTTCCTCTTTTTAAAATTAGGTAATGAAAACATTGTTTTTATTAATATTTGGAACATATTGCTAATTGAGAGAGACCCTTCGAAGCTTTTCATATCAAGTTTTTGTTTATTAAACTCCCTGTAGGGCTATAGATTGTACATACACTGTGTCCAAGATAAGAAGCTTCAGTAGGATATCGAAAACCGTAAATGATATGAAGTTGGTTAAATGGAAAAAAGCCTTGTACATAGCGTGACTCCTTTCAAATAAGCTCTAATGTACAGGGAGTTCGAGTGTTCCGTAAACATAATTATTTTTAATGGAACACCCCTTATGTACATATGCTGTCTTAAAGGCCTTTACTATTATAGTTAGTATTATTTAAGTTATTGCGTGCCTTAAATAACACATTTTTAAGTAAATAACGATCAAAAGAACATATCTATTGACTTAAAATATGGCTCTAAACGCGGGCAATGACTTGTTGAGACGTTTAACTCTTATGGCCTTCAAATAGTTAATATTTGGAAGTAGTATTATAAACACTCACACCCATACTAGTTTGAGATACTTTGACTAATAAACTACTAACTACAATAACACAAACAAACCTTTAGGGGAGGACAGAACTTACCTTTTTGTAGACTTTTCTGTAGCAGAGCCATGGTAACACCTTAAGTGAACTGGACTTTGCATTTAAATGAATATTCAATCTTTTAATTAGAATTCGAATGTATTTTTATACTCAAAGCGAACTCAATGGAAGTCCAAAGGGCAACAGTTAATGGGAAACAAAAACATCCATGAAGTTAGAGAGTTTAATGTCAGTGCACTTTCGTCGCATAATTGAGAAGATATTGGCAGCTGCTAGTAGTTAACCAATATCTTTCTTGTTTTCATTTCAAACAGTTTCAAATAATTAATTGCAAAGACAATTGTCTCTGTTAATTGCTTTAAATCTCCCTTAGTTCTCAGCTAAAATGCAAGTAGGTACTCAAAGCAGGGCGGTTGTTCTTTCGTTTATAAACATTCGGAATGCAAGCACAGCCGTGGTGGCCAACCCCAATTTAGCCCCGGTTTTTGTCAATAGAAATCCTCGAAACCTGGAAAGGTTGAGAATTGGTTACAAGCCCGATGGTTATCACGTTGACAACCCTGGAAGAAATTACTGGCACAAGTAAGCGAACATCTAAACAGATCTAGCCGATATGATTCATTCTCAAACCTTTGCAGACTGAATCTTGAAGTCAGTAGCAAGTACGTTACAGCCACTGTAAATCATTTTGAAAATGGAGAAGTGTTGCGGGCAAGCACCTGTGAATGGTGCATAAAAAAGTTCTTGTATAGTGCCAAAGATACGTCAGCATACATTAACTTAGGCAGGGTAAGCTCAGTTGATTATTACAAGGCTGTGATTCAACGCTCAGCTTAGATTCTAGGGATGAGGTGCCTTCAAACAGGGCTTACAGAGATCAGCTGCTATATCACACCTCGCAACGAGACTGACAAAGTAGCCCTGTTTCTCAAAGCACTGCAAGAGAGTGGGGTGGAACTAAAAGAGCCCCCTCAATATAAAGCTCCTTACCCTTGGGACCAGCACAGGCCAGAAAAACCGTGGGAGGTAGTGGAATAATCAATAAAATCGAGTTTTAGTACTTAATTTCGAATTTGTTCAATTTCCTTCAGCTGTTTTAGAATTTTTTATTTATAAACTGCGTTAACATTCAGAATAAGTTATACTATATGAGATGAGCTAAGTATATTACTGGGTGTAGTTGTCCTTGATGTCCTTCCATAATTTCTGAAAAGGTAAAATCGTATTACAGACTATCTGTATAACGCAGTTTTTTGAGAAAATCGGCCAAACTGACTTTGATGTTACATCTCCTGTTTTAAACAGTCTTCTTTGCCATCAGGCCTATTTTGAAATCTAAATAGATATTTTCTTCGAAAATAGGAGAAGTCTGTTTAAAAAGGATTTTTCATGCTAAGCTCAACCTGGTCGATTTTATCACCAGCTGCAGTTTGTAAATCGCTTCGTCAAAGTTCTCTGCTTGAATTGGCAGGCCCTAAATTTGGAGAATCTCTTAGCTGAATGATTACATAACTAACATACCCCTTTATTGATATTGTCAAATATGGTGTCACAGGCCGAATCCAGCGTTCTCTCGAAAATAAAGGCCGACGCAATGAAAGCCAGAGTGAAGGTGGAAGACCTCTTGAAAATGGAATTGTAAATTGTTTTTCCAAGGGACATTTTGGAGAGTTTGTGTATGTTCAACAGCGAAGATTACAAATGAACTGCGTTGAATGTCAGTCAGTATAGGTTATGTTCAATGTTGCGCAATAAAGTATAATTCTCTAGCCAGGGGAAAGATCGACTTAAGGCTGGTTGCACAAAAGCAAGTTGAACGATGGTTCAGCTGAACCAAGTTCAATTATTCACGGGTTGTACCACGACAAACATAGTAGCCAATCAAAGTTTACCAAATAGCACATTTTACAAAGGTTCGGAAGAGCCCACCTGAGAAAAAAAATTGATGTGATTGTCCAGTTCAACTGAACCGAGTTCCGCTAGGCGTTGTACAACCCGTGAATAATCGAACTCGGTTCTGCTGAACCATCGTTGAACTTGCTTTTATGCAACCGCTCCTAAGGAGGTACGTTCTGTGCCGCACAAACTGTGCGGTAAAACTGAACTCGGATTTAATCTGCCGTTCAAGCTTAAACGCGACTGGTACAACCGAAAACTTTCGTTAAACCACGTTCACCGCTGAACTTGGATTGCGCAACCGGCCCTTATAAAAATATATTTGGTAATTTAGTGCTTTTCACTCTCAGTTAGGAGACGTGATATAGACGTTTATTAATGTCATTGCGAGATGAATCAGGAGGCGTTATCTCCGGCCATTAATTAAGGAAAACTATAAATATAAATACATAAAGATATCTGTATGAAAATGTATGAAAAACACGAAGATAAATGAAATAAGCAGAATTATTTTTTCAATTAATCTAATCAATTATAAATTAAATAAAAATACTAAACGGTCACTTGATATTCATTAATAATTTTTGTATATGTACACAATGTATAATTAGAATAATTTTGAAAATTATTCTAATTACCGGCCATTACGAGTATACCGAAGTCATTGAGGGCAAACGATGTAAAATATTTTTAAAATGGTCAAACTTCTGGTTATACTGGAAATAGGTCTCAGCATGTTTGCTTTAAATGGGACACCCTGTATATTATTACATTTTGGGATTCTACTCCACATTTTAAATATGTTTTATGTAAAATATTATATACATAAATTTAACCGTTTTTGGTTCATTTCAAATTTTATCTCAAAAATTACAGTTGCAAGCACTAGAATAAATATTATTAATTTTTCTTGTAAGGAAATATGTATTATATAATGTGAGTTGGGTGTCTGGTTGAAAAGGACTTTAATAACATTTTCACTCTTTGATAATTATAATAAATACAAAATGTTAAAAAATCAGTTTCAAAATTAAATTGAGAAAACCGCACAAAATAATTTTTTTCAAATGAAAACCTCTAATTTTGATATTATTTTCTGATTTAGTATTTAAAATAAGAGCAAGTTTGAGTCAGGTTGTCGATTCCAAAAGTGTTTGGTTGTCGAAAAACTGTGTCTAATGTTGCAAAAAAGCAATTTTGCGAATTCGAGCTATCAAAATTGCGAAGTTTCACAAAATGTTTAAAACATTCCCAAAAGGGTCCCAAACTTTGTACATTTCTGCTTTTATCTCCGTAGCGGTTTACAAATTCTGATGAAACCTAAAAGGTAAAAAATACATATTCTTTCCACGGACAAAAAGCTGATATGGACTCATTCTATTTAATACATCATACTCATACACAATTTATTAACATACTCTTTTTTAGGTTCATTTAGGTTCCTTTGATAACGATAGCAGAAAATAGTTATCGAAACGTCAAGGTAATTTTTCAAATTAATTTCTTTACTAATTGGAATTTTCTCTTACAGCTTGATAAATATCTTTTTGATAAATAATTCTTTCTTATTGCGAAATAGGAGCACTATTTATCAATCTGTAATAAAAGACGTGAGGAAATTCTGTCTGTTTTAAAGACAAAAATTTTTGAGGCGAAATACCCAACAAGAAGTTTGTAAAAAAATGAATCCGCCTCAACAATATAGAACTTATCTACGACTCATTCTATATTTGAACAGTTTATAGATTTTATATCTTCAGTCGCTTGTAGAGGTCCAGATTTTGTCTCAGACTGTTTGTTTATTTACCCTCTCAAAATGCTTCTTCGAAAAGCTTTTTCATCTGAATTAGATTAAAAACATTTTTGGCTTCCACACACATACAAACGGGTATTTGTTCAGTTCTATAGCTGTTCATACCATAAGAAAGGTACCATATGAGGTTTTCCGTCTTTTGGGACATCGGAGAATTTTTTTTACGATTTGCTTGTATCCTCAGAGCTGTGTAAGCTTGAAGAAGCATCCAAGTTTCCATCTCACCTCGTAATCAAACTGACGTTGTCCAGCTACAGTCAAGAGAGAAAATAATATAGCGGTTGTCATGGAAATCAGTTGTTCTTTCTCGCACACTACCGATGTACCAGGGACGATTCGAAACAATGCGATTGAACCGCGATAATTGGGTGAGTTTTTCGGAAAAATAACAGCGATTCTTCAAATTTAACTGAAAATATATCGAAGTTTGTTAATTTATAAAAACAATTAAATTAATATTTTTTGGAAGGAGGTAGGATTAATACTATGAAGTGGATAAATCGCACTAAGGGATAATATTGTATTTTTTTCGAAGCCAAAGTGACCCAGAGCAAAAATATACTTTTATCATTGCGTTTATCTCAAATTGATTAAAACCCGTGCAAAACTACAGTGTGATGTTTTTTTTTCAAGCAAACAGCGAAAATGCTTTAAAAAGCATAAAACTCATTTGTTTCCATTAAATCTTTCAAATTTGCTGGCACCGAAACGCCCTGTAGATTCTGGGGGCTGTAAAGTTGGAAGGTTAAAAAAACAAAATTGGGCTTGTTTGACGGGTTTGCTTTAAAATTAAACGTAGACATCCTGTATATGAATGAAGCTGGAAAATATCTGAGGTGAACATAGACGGGGGGGCCGTACATTGAACTGAAATGCGACCATCAGATATGATTGAAAGTTGTTTACAAGCATTGGAATGGTACGATGTAATTGCTGTTTATTTTTCCTTTTCTTTCAATTTTTCTTCAGGGGATTTTTCTAGCTAAAAAACTGGGGTTTTCCCAAATTATTGTTCTTCGATTTGAATGGATACGTTCATTAATTTGATGCCCTCTACTAGTTGAGCTTAACATTTGAAAAAATTGGATGCAAAGCATCAACCAAATGTTTTTTTTTTTAGCTTTTGAGGCTTAGTATTGGACAAACCCCTGCAAATATTTGTTTTCTGTTGGTGTTGGAAACACTTTTTCAGTACAAAGTACCACCCTAGCCCGCTTGTTGGTGATTACGATTATCGCCTGTATACCATTCTTGCATTTTAAATCGTCCAAGTGGGGTCCGAGGTCTCTTTTAACCGAAGAACGATTCAAACGTGTTCAGTGCGTTCAGTGCGACCAGACACCCATCGATTTTCACAGTCGCCCTCTTACCATTAGTGCTTTGTTTGTCGATTTTGTAACCAGCTGTTGGGGTGTCGTTTTTGGATCACTTTAAACACCTAAAACTCTTTGAACTTATCCTTGATAATCAATTTGTCGTCACTCGTTGCTGTACCGTTAGAATTATCGTGCAGAAATGGCGTTTTCTATTTTGAGAAATGGACTGAAACTGGGAAAGAACGTACAAAAGATTGTATGTTCGAAAAATCCGGTGGAAATTGCAAAATTGGAGGGCTTGAGGAATACAGCAGCGGTAAGTTAATTTAATCGAGTATGAATATCAATTTCCAACGGCATTTTTAACTTAATAAGTAATTAATGCCTTTTGAATTTAATTCAAATGATTCTTGGCCATTTTTTTATAAATAAAGTTGATAGTTTCTCGTCGCCTCTCAATATCATTTGCACTCTTGAGCTCGGACTGATTTTATATGTATAATAATTAACATTTTTATTCAAATATCGTTGAATAAAAAAACATTTTTTATTTTGTTCAGTTCGATTGTATTCTTTTAAAATTATCCCCAGAAATGATCGAATAGACGAAAGCCTTGTTCTTCTTCATTTCATTTTAGTACTCAGCAATTATTTGCTTCGTTTATTAAAAACATGATAAACTTTTATCTTTTTTTAATGCTTGCTACTAATTAGTAGGTAGTTAGTAGCACAGTTTCGTTTAAAATAAGACGCGCAAAAAGCCATACGAGAATTATTAGATAATAATTTTACTTTAAATCAACTAACGATTGCCTCAACGTGACCGATGTAAAGTGCTGTAGAAATATGTACGTTAAAATTCGACTTTTTGGGTTTTAAGTTTTTGGCCCCCTTGTACAGTGTAGGTACTTGAAATGCGACCAACTTTTTCTATTTGAATTCAGTTTCAATAGAATCATTAAAATCCAAGAAAATTTGTTGAGTTAAATGTTAAATTTTATTTGCAACTTTTAATCAAAGCAGATGCTTGGATGAGGACCTAAATTTTAACAAAAGAGCCGATACCCCAAAATATGAATTCAGGTAGAAGATTTGCTAAGAAGCTATAAACGAGCCGGGATTAAAGGGCACGTAGCAAGTTTAATTTTAAGCAAAACAGAAATGCAAGTCTGGAAACGATTGTGGGATCCACAGGCGTGTTTAAAAATTTAACAAAAAATTGAATTTTAAAGACAATACGATATCGATTTTCGTTTTGCACTGAATAAAACAAAGTTATTCAAACCGGTGTCGTACAGTTACGCCTGTGTATATTTTTACAGAGAAAATTTGCGCGCCTCTGTTTTTTCTTTAATTAGATTAGATTTAATTAATTAAAAACTGGTGATTTCGCTGTTCGTCCCGGTCTGTCTTTAGCTCTTTTTGTACGACGCATCTTTTTCGAGAAAAAACACCATAAGGTTTAGTTGGAAGAAAAAACACCATAATGGGATTAATCAGCATATGAAAACTATACATAAAAAAGTTGACTTTAAAGCGACAAATCTCATATAAACATGTGCCTGTATGTCTAAAATACCAGCTGCTGTTTACGATAAATCTTTAGAAAAAAATTCAATTTTTCAATACCGTAAAGAAAGCATTTTCAAACTTACATTTACAAATACTTTTTTGTCTAAAATTTAATTTTCTATGCAGCGTTTTCAAATGGCTCCTAAAAATCGCCACTCACACAAACATAATGCACCAAAGATGAACATAATTCGATTAATGTTCCAGATTATTACTAATAATTAATCAGCTATGAATCGAACAACCGAATAATATTCAATAATATTTTTCACAAAAACCTTCCAAAATATAGCCTTATTTTTCACAAATAACAACTATTTTCGTCTAAGCAACAAACTTAATGTTTTATCATTTTAGCGTATGTAACTATCTTACAGCATTCTCATGCAAGATAGGGTATTTTATTAAAAAAATTAATTTCGTTGTAATCACTCTATGTATTATATAAGTGGAGAAGCTAAAATTTAACGATATAAGAAAACTATATAAAACAATTTAGATTCTTTTTAGGAGTTGATCATTATAAATATGCGTGTTGAAAATGATGACCCAATTAGTAGCTGAAAAATAAATTGTTTTTAAACCGTCGACTCTTAATGTTCCATTTTCATCATATTTTTATGATTTTCTCTTAAAAGAAAGTCTTGAAATATCGCAATTTGTATGGAGAAACAAGGGCAAAAGAACCAAAAACAAGGTTTATGTAGGAATTCACTTTCCCTACTAATTTTCTAATGCTAAGGATTACCTTTTTTTTTGGAACACATAATTTGGGCATGGTTTCCTTTTTATCATTTTTATTCCAACTGAGAGTAAAATGAGAGAGTAATTGGTTAAAAAATGTTTTAAATTTGTATTTCTGTGTTTTGTTTGTCTATTCATCTTTTTTCGAATGGCGAAAACATTTCGATTGCTTATAGTTTATAACAGGTACCAAAGAGAAGATAAATTATAGCTCATAACAGATCTGGAAACCTTATCAAAAGTGCAACAACCGATATAATATGTTTATCTGAGTAAATACAGCTAAATAAAACATTCCCAAATAGATAGTAAACATACCAATTTCAAAATTGTAATAAAAATAGTTAAATACCACAAATTCATGGTGATATTCGTTTCGTTAAACTCGTACAAATAAACTAATTTTGTTACATAATTTAACATAAATGTACATACTTACAGTCAGGTTTTATTTTGGAAATATTCTCGGTTCACTCCTATTGGAATTTGAAATTGAGATGCAAGAAAATTTTATACAGCGTGTCCCAAACTTGAGATATCATGCCAACGACCATTTTTAAATGGCAAAGCTATTTTTTTGACTATTCTTAAAGGGCATATGAACAAAAATCAAATTTTTATTTCTTCGCATCTAAAAATATTTATCACGCACATGAAAAATTCGAAAATGAAGAGATCTCAACCTAATTATAATTTTTATGGTTTTCGTTAATATAATAAATATAATTTTTATCGTCCCCATCAATAATATTTCTCCAATAATTGCACAAAGTCTAAATTAATAATTGATAAACTGATAATAAAATGCTGATATGCTCAACGAAACCGAAGCTCATTTTGAACATTCCTAATTAATTCTGAGGAAATTAGCCTGCATTTCCGTTGTACTCTCTTTTGCAACTCCTAAATGTTTGTCGGTTTGGTCTGAACAATTTGCTCTTCAAGTGAAATCCTATTGAAAATAGTCCGGATTTAACAGGTTTTCTTCAGTCCAAACTTGCTCAAACAAGTGTGTGGCCTTTCTTCATTCAGGTTGTGTTTTTTGAATTTGAGCTTCTGCAGGATTTCCATATTACAAGTATCAATTTTTTGGAATTTAAGAATTCCAGCCTCTGAAAACTGGCCATTTTCGAGTTCTCTAGTGAGGCATTAACATTTTCTTGAACAGGGAGAAGTAGGCACATTCAATTTGACTTCTTCCTTGAACACACTGATGATCAATAATTTTTCTTAAATGATCATTTTTCTGGAACTGTTTTTAAATCTTGCTTATGGTACTTTTCGATTTGGGCGGCGAATCAGGATTTTTTTACTGAAGAAATCATCACTAGATTTTCTATCCACCGAGTTTTAGTTAACTTCGGCATTTTGCTTTATTTTTCTTTACAAAAGGGCAAACTAATAAATATCCTCGCTCAGTACGATGCTACTTTAATGTTACTACGATTGCTCTTCTTACTTGCTTTTATTTAGCTTACATTTTAATTAAATTTTGATTTAACTTATATTTGGGCTTTTAGTCCAAACACGTTTTAGTAATGCTATAAAGGAAAATATTATTTAAGATTTGTGCGGCATTTCAATTTAACTAATGTGCATTGTATTCAGCACTGGAAAAGTTTAAGCGCACTACTGATTATTTTTGAATAAAATTTAAGAAAATTGCGAAAATATCCTAACTTTGATATCTTGTTCTGTAGAATTCTTCAGCATATTTTGTGCGCTTAAATCTGTCCTCTTTGCATACCCAATAATAAATCATTTGTTTTTTTGATCCCATTGTGCGATAATCATTGAATTTGCTTTAAAACTACTATTAAAACATAACTATTTAAATATGTAAAAGAAACCCACCACTCTAAGCCCCAGAAGAACTGATTAAATCCTCAATACTTCTATAACCGAAATCGGGGTTAAACACATTAACCAGTTGAAACAATTACGCAAATTTCACTGTCTCTGACCTCCAATTCATTATTTATTTACACGTACGTGCAGTACCAGATGTATCTCCAGAGAGATTATGCTCTTACATTCACGTAGTCACATGGTCAGGTTGTTAAAATGAAGATATGATAAGCAGTTGACCTATTTTTGACAATAGACGCTATTATGAACTATGCAAGTCTAGACGAATTCGAAAGTGTTCGATAAATTCACATTAACAGAAATATACTGGCAGTACCTGACTCAAAGTAAACTGATGTGTTAATAAAGTGCTGTTGAATTAATTGCCTAGATACATGGTTAAATAACAACAAGTTTCTTTGGATATTTATCAACTTTTCAAGCGAAAGTTTATTTATATTTTTTATTATCGTTTATATCAAACGAGAAAAAATAGCACTGTGTGTGTTCGCATGTATTTTTATTAATGCGTTTTTTTTTAATTTAACACAGATTGAATGAATGATTACAATCCGATAAAAATTTGGGAAAATTTTCGGTCAAAATTAAAAACAAACATGAGTGTTTTTGGAGCTCCCCAGCATGCATCATCGTCGGTAAAAAATCCGAACCGCTCAAGATGAGCCAACATTTTCGTTTTTTTAGGATCAGAAGAGTGAAGCGAGTATATTTCTGCGCTCGCCGGATTTCTCGCTACCGTGTGTGTTTAAAATCATAAAGAATTTGAGACATAAAATTTTTTTTCGAAAAAACCTTACATTTTCGGTCAAAAATAAAAATGTACATGTCTGTTCTTTGGGCTCAATTGATAGATTTCAACCAGCAGATATTTGCGCATATGTGCGGTTAAAGCCGTAATAGGGCAGATATTTCGGCTAAAAATCTAAACCGCTTAAAATAAACTTTTTTCGTTAATTTGCACCAGCATTAACCAGAGTTAATTTGCACCGACGTTTGCAATTGTTTGAAGAAATTTGCGTTTCTACCAATAAATTTAACACATGGAATATAAAATAAAATAATTAAGTACTTTTGGTATATACTTATAATCGTTTATATTTGATAAATAAATAAATATATTGGTAGATATGGTACACATCTACATAATAATAAATATTTGCTAGTCCTTTAATTGTTGCTGCCTCTTCTGATAATTTTAATTTGTGTTCAACCAATTTATGTTGATATCAATTAAATAAAGCAACAAATGATTTTCATATAATAGGAAATTGTTGATACCCATTAAATAACGAATAAATTTGTGAATGCTATCATTCGTTATAGTACATTTCCTAGCTTATGTAGCCAATAAATTCAACCTAATAGGCGCGACTTTTCTGCAAAAAATCGCTAATAATTCATAGCATATCGTATAAAAACATGTGGCTCAAGGCGAACATTCATTAACCGATTGCTTGTGGAGGTCAATTTTGTTGTTGTAAACAACCAAAAAATTTCTTTCAGTTGTTGTAAACAACCAAAGCGTTTAAATGGAACGGCGATTTTGCCAACAACATTTGCTTTCTATTACTTAACTTTAAATGTGTTCTAAACAAAGCGATTCAAAAGTGGCACATAATCAAACTGATGTAATTTTATTGCCTTCATCATTGTGTCTCTATTATTAAAAAAGAAAAATGTTTACACATTGCAGGCTTTATCTTGTACTCAACAATCCTGCCTCCTCACACCTAAGATTACGAACTTAGAGCTGGCGTCGCGTGGGCTGAGTAGCAAACATGACACCAAACCGCATCATGAACGCAAATACCAATCATCATCTGAATCTGATTGTGATTTGGAAGGATGGTTGGGCAAGAGGGTGAGAAAAAAACATAGAAAACTGTTTAGGAAATATTCTACTAATTTTAATTTGCCAGGGAGACTCTGATTTTTGGAGGAGGAAGATGCGCACTTTCCACTCCATCCTGGATCTGAATAAGGATGGAGTGATTTCTTTTGATGACTTCAAGCTGTTGGCTGATGGTTTTGTGGATTTGGGGCACCTCAGTGAGAAACATACACAGGAATTTTATAAAGTTATACAGGTAAGTTTCACTTTGTTTTTGGCCGTAAGATGTTTTTGAACCACGGGGTTTTTTAGGATCTATGGGAGAAGCAGTTTGGAGAAATTACGGCCTACAACCTGATATCTGTCGAAAGGTTCTTGGAGAATATGCATCATGTGCTTAATGATAAAAGGCTTGTGAGACGTGCTCATTCTTTCCTGCCCTATTTATTCAAGGTACGTACATCAAGCCAGCGTCCGTTTTATTTTCAAATCTGATAATCTTTCCTTTAACTTAACTTATTAACCGAATAATTTGCATCTTTGCTGCAGGCTGTGGATAAGGATGCATCAGGTCAAATAACAGTGGAGGAATTTAAGCTGTTTTTCAATGTGCTAGGACTGAAAGAAATGGACGCAGTGTTAGCGTTCAGAGCCATCGATTCTAATGGAGATGGAAGAATCAGCAGTCAAGAGTTTGTGAAGCATGGAAGAGACTTCTTCGTTACAGAAGATGAGGAGAGAATTTCCAAGTACTTTTGGGGACCCTTGGTCGAGCATTAACGCAGCGGTGTTTAACGATTCCTCCTTACTTTAGACGATATTTTCTTATTAAGCTAGACCTACGTTTTCCAGACTATTGACCGCAAAATGCCGAACTTTGGGTTCTGTTAAGATGTGGAAGTCTTATCGATTATTGTTTAACTTTATCTATTGATCTGCATTATTGCAAAGCGCTAAAATTGCCATTTAGCAAGTTGAATGTTTAATTATTAACCGAGAACACTTCTTGATTTCGTCTTCATACATTTTATGAAGCGTTAAGATTATTGTGATAAAGTGGTTTATATGTTTAGATTAAGCAAGTTTATTAAAGCTATTTTTTAAACACTTTTAAGTTTAATTAATGGAGACTTCCCCAAGCCCGAAATCATGATAAAAAATGAATTTTTTCAGATGGGGACAGAGGCAGAAAGTTGGTAAGGTTGAATTGCGCATTATTTACAGCAGTTTCTGAAGTTTAACGGCCTTCAGTTCAGTTCTTTTTTAAATATTGAAGTTATTTTGTGCTAAACGGGTGTTTATGTTCTATGCACAATTGTTGAACGATTTACTTTGAGCCCTCAAAACTCGTTTCTTTTAAGAAACAGGGCGTTGGGAAGCTAAACGGACATACGAACACAGCAAATTCTACAGATTATTTCATGCCAAAGTTGTAATTTTGTCTAATAAGATCAAGAAACATCAGTAAAAAGGAAGATTGTATGGTGATGCGTCTTCACCAATTTTAAAGAAAACATCGGCTTTCTTTTAAACCTTAGAAAAAGAGAACAAAGGCACCTTTTACGTGTACAAAATAGATAATTTTCTAGTAGGTAGTCTGGAAACAAGTTGAAAGAAAAAAATAATCTCACTAAAACCGAAAATCTAGGCACCCGACCAAAGACAATAATTAAACAGTTACTCATAACAGCTGTATATCTTGGAAAAATGCGTACAACAGTTTAGTTGTCCATTTCAAATCGCTCCTGAATTATAGTCAAAACACTAAAAAAATGGTGCATTTGCATAGTCATTCTAGTCTTTATCAGACGCCGATAAAGTGACACAACTTGCAAGAGTTTGAGTCAGAGCGCAATTTCGTATTTAAAATTGTTATTTATGCACAGTAGTGAGGAGTTTGAGCTCAATATAGACTTTTGACTCTTGGCTATTGATACTTTAGTTTTGCGCTTTCCACATACAAAAAACGTATTGAATTTGAATGGAACACCAACAACAAACCTGGAATAAACTAAAAATTTATAAAGTATTTATCGTGATTGAACTAACTGTTAAAATAAAATAGTATAGGATCATTCACAGACAGGCAATAGTGGAATAAAAAAGATAACAAACACCCTACACTTGTATTTTATATTTAGCTGTTAAAATAAATCATTATATCAGCATTTGAGGCAAGTGCAAAACATATTTTATTGATACCAAATTTAACTCATTTTTATTTCAAACTTAACAGAGCTTTATATTCATTTACCTGCTTTACCATTTCGTTGATTTTGCTCGTACTGGAACAGAAAAAAGCTGTAGTTAATGCAAAAATCAATTTGTAAAATTAATACTTACGATTCACGGACGCTTTCTTTAATTGTGTTTGCTTGCATCTCGCCGATGGCAGGAATTTTTTTGTTTTCTCGAGATTTCCAATTTTGTATCTAAAAAACATGTCTTTAAATGATTTCACTGAATGGTAGAATAATCTTACTTGAATTTGTTGATATTTAGTTTTATTTTTCACTTTATCGATAACGGTTTGAAAGGAAGCACATCTATTATTGTACTCTTCCAAATCTCTCAAAAATTTGCTTTCTGCATCTGACGGTTCCGTTCTTTTCCTCGATACCAACATTATAAGATTCTCGCACTTTTTTAACAACATTTCCTGCTTGTCGTTAATATCTTCATATTTCTCTGCCAGATTTTCGGCTTTTTCCCTCAGCTCGTCCTTAGTAACGTTCATTTCTTCAATTTGCTGTTTCTGAGCTTGCTTCAATAGCCTGAGAGTATGCATTCGTTTTTCCAATTCCTCTTTGGCTTTTCCCAGATTTTTAACGTGTTCTTCACGAAACATCGCTGCTGCACGTTGTAACAACTAAATAAAATCACATAAATCATAAAGAGTGTTTCGTTTGAAATATTTGAACACTCACATCGAAGCATTCTTCAGGTGGGTGATTGGAAGAAGTAGATATTTTCAACAACGGTCTACTCGATCCTTTCTTTAAGATTTTCTGGATATACTGGTCAAATGGCTCGTTTAACATCTGAAAGTTTAGGTCATAAATTAATAATAACGCAAGAATACATTTCTGCCTGTAAAAAACTCCTCTAAGGAATTGATATAACTAAAATCTTCTTTTAAGGGCGTCAAATAAACAACTTTTGTGTTACCTTTTTGGAAACCATTGATGTGGGAACTTTGCTGACTAAAGCAAGTATGAAGGAAAACTTTTTGCAGCAGTTTTTTTTCCAAAAATGAAATTAAAAAGTGAAACAGGCGGTAGACGGTTTTAGCCAAAGGCAGTTTTACATATAAGCAACTTATATTGCCGTTTTTTGACTTAATAAGATATCAGAGAAAGAGGGGAAGGACGCTATTACTGAAGCTGCAAGTTTTACTTCCAAAGCTTCCATGAAACTACCAAATTAAAAATTTGCTCTTGCATAATATGATTATGTAAATTGTTGTTTCCAATCTTTGCCATAGTTTTTTTCATGTTAGTTTTGAAGCGATTAACCAACCAACAAACCTTTTTCAATGGGGAACAAATTTGTGAATCTTCCAATTCAGATTTGATCATACTTTGGTCCTTAGGGGCAATAGTTTCGGCCAAAATGCCCAAAGTGACCACACTGCCATCGCTCAAAATAGCGATGATCGACGTGGGCTCGTAATATAGCGCAAATCCTATTACTGTGTTCGATTTTTCACTGTTCAAAACTTTGGTACACACCAAATACTCTGCGGAAGTGGGATGCATGAATATGTCAGACGATGGCTTCGCATCTAGAAATTTTGGCTAGCTGATTCGCACATTCGCTTTTAAATGAACTTTTTACCTTCGGGTCCGAAGACAAAACTGTGCAAGTCATCGACGCAATTTAAGTTAATCGTGTGCACACCTGCACTGTGCGTTGCAAAATATCTGGAAGCTTTTGAGTCGTCTTTTCGCAGGAAAATCGGACATTTGTATTTAACGAGCTCTTCATGTTCGCTTTCTTGCGCTATGGTCAGTCCAAGTTCCAACTCGACAGTTTCAAACACTAGAAGTTCCTTTTCCGGGGCGTTTGCTGGGGATTTTGCTTTGAGCTAAAATTGATCAAATGGTTACTAATTTTAATTACATATTGCATTTTTCATTATACCTGTTCTTGCTCTGTTTCATCAATATTGAGTAGTACACCGTGAGTGAGAATTCCATTAGAGCCGGCAATGCATAGCATTTCAGGAACGGTTTTTAGAGCGATAATAGAGCACGCTTCGTTCTCAACCATGCTTGGCAGCTGAGAGGTCGGAAATGGGCCTCTAAGAACTGCTCTAATGCTGAAATATGCTACCATATAGATCTGAGATTACTCTCCTGAGACAAACCTACCGTTTTTTCAGATCAATGTTGATGCTGAAAACTGAAAAATCGCCCCTTAAAATGTAGACAGGCCAGACGAGTTCTTTCAGTTGATCGGCATTTGTGTTATTCTGCGGTTTTTCATACGGTTTTGCAGTTACTTTCGTTCCATATTTGGACTTAAACCCATTTTTAAACCGGTCGCCTGAAATTCAAGTGGCATAAACCCTGCTTCGTTTTATGGATGTTTTACCTTTTTCGCTTTGGCTGATATTCATTTTTTTCAAACTTTCCCAAATGGCGGCTTCTTCGACGATTTCGGGAAAGCCAAAATCAAAATCCACAGCAATTTCCCCATATATATCCAAGAATGAGATTTTACTGCCGGGAAACAGCCCACCTGGACTTTCTCCTATTGGATACGTTCCTACGCTGAAAGCTTCATTATTTTCGATTTGATAGAGTCTGAAAAAAAAAACAGAGTTATGGCACAGTAACTAAAGCCGAATTGGTGCTTACCTGAGAGTGTTATCCGAAGTTAAAACCAAAATGTGGGTGTCCGTAATGCTTCCAGGATGAAATTTAACTCGTCTAACTTGTATCGTATCGTTGCATGTTAACAGGCGCTCATCCAAACTGTAACTCCTAAAATAGACTTATTTTCATCTATTTTTCGAAACGGAATGGAAATAATAATGAATACAAAGAAAGTATAAATATGTCGAAAAGTATGCAAAGTCATGTTGGGGCAAGACAATTGAGAATATTATTAACAGCTATTTTCTACCAAATCCATCTGAAGCATCTCTATTGATTTTTTTAAATAGCACGAGTGAGATTGCGGCCTAACTTCGGAAACCTTTCAAAAACGAATCAAGCTTCGGAACATTTTGAATCAGCTTGTCCCAGCCAAAACCAAAGCTTCATTAATTCCGGTCACAAAAGTATGTCTTTCATGCAAGTGTACAAAGGAGATTCACATTTCCTAATGACAATGTTTCCGTTTTTTTTCTATTTGTGCTTCATATTCCAAAATTTCAATCAAAAACTAAATTAATCACTTGCAGATCGATTTGAAATTGTTTTCTTTATGGAGATGAGGAACATTGTCATTTATGAACCGCACAAGAAGTTAATAGGGAAGTTTAAAGCAATTAAAGGAATCAACTTAGGACATTAGATGCTGCCTGATCAAAGAGAAAATCTCGGAAAATTCTTCCAAGCATCGAAAACTCAACTTAATCAGGAATTAAATGAAGCGACGCCATGCACGATTTTACATAATTTTCTCTTTAGCCATAAGCGTATTTCTTATTTGATTAGAAGTCTAAATACGCAGTTACACAACCCCTGAATTCTTCTTAAATATTTGTTTAATGATGGTAATTTCAATGGTGAAATCGACCGCGATCTGTGTGAAAATTATGTTAAACCAGTGAGAATTTATGAACAGTATGAGAATGACAGAAATTTGGTTGAAACTTTATTGAGGAGTCAACAGGATAGAATTCCGCCACATTTTGATTTTCACAACTTTTTTGTTGAGCATTTTGCCACAAAATATTTTTGTCTTTAAAAGAAAGATAACATTTTCTCACGTCTTATACTTCGGATAGCTTATACTTCGGAAGCTTTTCTTAATTAGTATCGTAGAAAGAATTCCTGGATTTTCAGATAAAATTAAACGAGTAGCTAAAAAAATCAATATTAAATCTTTACAAACGAAAATACAATTAGAAGCAAAATTTCAAAAACAAAACTTCATGAGAAAATTGAAAATACAAAAAACATAATTTTATGCAGATACATTTTTCGAGGCAAAACATCCAGCAAAAAGTTTTTCAAAACATGAATCGCCCAGAATTATGTACAATTTATCTGAAATATTTTCTGCTGTATGTTTCTTTTGTTGTCATCTGTGATGAGAAAAAGAATGTATTATAAATGTAATATAATGTAAAATAACTCTGTCACTGTTTGACTTTATAAATGTATATGAGACTAAATATTATTACTATCAGTTGGATTACAGTTACGCAGGAACATTGACTGAAAAAAGGGAAACACCAGAATGGTCTCCTGGTTCTCCCGATTTTACGCTCCGGGATTTCTTTATTGTGTGGCCACTTAAACTTTGAAGTCTTCAAAACCCAACTAGAACGAATTGAAGAGCTAAATAACGGGCAAAATATCACAACTTAATAAAAAATCACTTATGTCACAAACTTTTAAATTTTTTTAAAATTTATTTATAATATGCATTTTATGAGGCCTTTGAAATAGGCATACTATAGAGATCAATAAAATCACCCGTACATAGACAATGGAACATAAACAGAGAAAAATATAGAATTTGTCCATAAAATTTGGATTTTTTTCTGTGGATATAAATCATACTTTGATTTTTCATCATATTTATATAATATTAATTGGTTTGTCTTAGCCCCATGCGTTCTCTTTGTTAGAGTCTTTGACTCTTGTTTTTGCTTTCCGCCCACGATCGCATAACTCTTTTAAATCTCTAAATACATTGCTAAAAGTCTATATAGCTAAATAATAACAAGTTTTTGTAGCTCTTGTTTCAAAATATTTTCGGTATTTGCATGCTTCTATTTCCTGTTGTGCTTGTCGAATTAATGTATTTTTCTCTTGGATTTTTATGGCGATTCAATATAGGTAGTTGAAAATGGAACTGCTTTACATTAAATGGGCGTTTTTCATTTATGAATCTGTTTTTGCTAAATATTTTCATGATTTTATGTTGTTCGCCTTGCATTAGTTTATTGGAGGTACCATAAGTTGCACCGCATGCATCATTCCATTAAAAAATGCGTAGTAAACAGTAAGAAGCGTTTCAATCACGATGATATTCCTAATTTTAGCAAACACAAAAATCAAATATTTTGTTTGTTTCATTTATATTCCACGCCTTCGTCCCATCTCATACTGCAATAAAAAATTAATCCTAGATGCTTGTGAGATTCAACTCTATTTAGCAATGAATAAATACCTTTTCATTGTTGGAATTTCGAGGCAAAACCGCCTATTTATGTATTGCACTCAACCTCTTTTTGCAACAATATTTCTTAATTTCCAGTCCTCTTTTACCCTTTTACCCCATTACCGTCTCCGCAATGCGATTTTCGGTTGTGTGACACATTCCGGTGCTAAATAATAATTTCGGTGACGTCTTGCTTTTTAGCGCTCTTTACCGTAATTAGTGTGAATATGACTTAAATGGGTTGATTGAGAAATATTATGGAAAGGTGGGGCCTAAGTGGCACAAAAGAAATTAAGTAAAAACCGGTAGATCTTAATAAAATGGACCGCCTAACCATCCATTACGTTCTGGACCGCCGCACTTTTGCATCTGACCATTCATGGAAGAGTTACATTGAAAAGCTGGGGCAAACGAAGTTTAACGGAAAAAAAATATATGATGTAAATCCTTGGGGTGCAAGCTCCCGCTCAGCCAGGTAAAATATGAAACTAATTCATATCATAATCCGCTTTTGGGTTACCACAAAGTCGTAAACAATAATAAAAACGGATTCTGGCTCATTTTGTCTCCATTAGTATTCTGCGGGAATGAATATTCAAACTCTTTAGACTGTATTTCGTTACGCTTATGTTGCTCATAGACGTTCATTTTACACATTTCTCAACATAAACACAATATTTTCTCTTTACTCTTTGTTCACTGGCTGGACTGGAGTTGGACAACAATCTTAACTGTAAATATACCAAGTCCATCAGGTTGGTAAGAAAAAACTGCAACAATAGAAAATAAAGCTTAAAACCGGATCGTAAATTAACGGAAAAACTACTACTCAACAAATTTGCCTAGATGAGAAAAACAAGAAGAGCTTTTAAAACTTTAATCTACTCCCGCAAAAAAACGTTTTTTTGGCCTGTATAGTAGCAACAATTGAAATCTGCGCTACTGATTTTCTTAACTATAACTAAGAAAGCATAGGTTAGGTAATCTCACATTCACGAAGATTTGGCCGCATCGGCGGCGAGCAAATTTGCATAAAAAAACGATAAAATTAGCGCAAGATTAGGCGGAATGCGTGAACGAGGCTTAAAGTGGCAGAAATTCCGGGGCTAAGGTATTTAAATGCCCCCTCCTAATGGTTCTCTTTTGGAACGATCCAAGGTACTTTTAGGTAAATCAAAATATCTAACTTTTGAGTCTTATTGAGATTTGTGAAACGGGAAAGTTAATCTGCAGGCATTGGACTTGAGCATGTCTTATACGAGGTGATATTTACTGATCCACCAAGAAAATATTATGAATACTTTAACCCTGCGTAAATTTTCAGATAATTAGTAGATAAGAAAAGAGACCTGGTGAGTTTTTCGAGACTTTAAGGCGTCATGGATACGGTCAAATTTTGATTTTGTAGACGAAAGTCCCTTCCATAAGTGGAAAACGTTTCGATTTTCAGGCATCGCCGGACAATTTTCGGCATGTTTTCGAAATAGCTTCTTGTTTCATGGTGATTGTTGCGGATCGGAGAGTCAATTTTGGATGCATTTTGTAGACCCAAATAAGGGGACAAATTTTTGATTTTTTGTCATTAATATTCAATTTTTAACAATTTTTCAAAATTGCGCATGAGTACGCGGTTGTTTTTACAGGTCGAAGTCTGCCATTTATTTATTTGGAAACTAATAAAATGACACAAAAGTTCTTCTGCATTTGAAAATGTATTTTGAAGGGCAAAGTCTGTTCTAAAAGTGCGAGGTATCTTCAATTTTTTTAAAATTGAGTTTTTTTAATTATGGAAGCCGCATTTATTATGCATTTAATAGGGAAAAGTTTCTCCTATCAGTGCACAAAGTTCAGATTTTCAGGCATTGTCAGACAATTTAAATTTTTTTCCAAAATTACTTCTTGTTTTTGTGATGGTTTTTGCAAGCCAGAGTTAGGTATTTATTTATTCACGAATAAACAAAGTGAGAGAGGCGTTTTTGAAGGAATTTTAAAGAGCAAAGCCTGTTTTATAAGCGAAAAATATTTCGATTTTCGCGGTCTTCGCCTGGAAATTTTTGAGGATTTTTCAAATTTGCCCTCGGTTTATGAGATTGTATTTGTAGGGCGTAGTTGAAATTTTTTTTTAATTTAAGAACTAACAATGTAGGTTATAGGGCAAATACTGTTTTATAAGTGAAAAAGTGTCGACTTCCAATCATCACCGGGAAATTTTTCAGAATTTTTCAAAATTGCCTTGGGTTTACGAGATTGCTTTTGCGGTTCGTAGTTTGGCATTTATTTATTCACGAACAAAGTGAGAGAGTCGTTTTTGAAGGAATTTTATAGGGAAAAGCCTGTTTTATAAGCGAAAAAAGTTTCGATTTTTAATCATAACCAAGAAAATTGTCCTCAGTTTACGAGATTGTATTTGCAGGGCCTAGTTTGGATTTTTTTATTTAGGAACCTCAGAAGTGAGAGAGTTGCTTTGTATGTATTTTGTAGGGCAAAGCCTATTTTATAAGTGAAAAAAGTTTCGATTTTCAGTCATGAGGGAAATTTTTGAGAATTTCTCAAAATTGCCCTCGGTTTATGCGTTTGTATAAGTAGTTTTTTATTTAAGAACTAAAAAAGTGAGAGATTAATTTTTGAGTGTATTCTATAGGGC